TGCAGAGCCCGAACGGCATCACTTGATATTCGTAGGAGCCATATCTGGTACGTAACGCCGTCTTGTGGACCGAGTTGTCCGCCATCTTGATCTGCCACTAACCCGACCGTAGGTCCAGCTTCGAGAATACTGTTGCCCCACGCAGTTGGTCTAGAAGATCGTCTGTGCGCGGTATGGGGTATTTGTTTTTTACTGTCTATTTGTTCAGTGCGCGGTAGTCGATGCACATCCGTAAACTGCTGTCTAGTTTTGGAGTGAAGAGAACTGGTGCACCGTGGGGAGAGGTGGATGGGCGGATCAGTTGTCTGTCTAGTAGATACTCTATCTGCTTCTTCATGTCTGTCAGTTCAGTCCGACTAAGGCGGTATGGTGCATGTGAAACGGGATTCGCACCTGGTTCCTCCACGATCTCGTGCTTCTGGGTGCGTGCTGGAAGTAATCCTGCAGGCAGGTCGTCTGGCATGATATCTTTGTACTGCTCCAACACCTCCTGTACTGCTGCAGGTAGCTCCATTTTCGACTGATCCTCCTCAGTTGCTGCCATCACCTGTGCTAAGTAACCCGTGTTACTCTCGTTCACCGTCTGTTCGAACCGTGCCAGTGTCGTTTCAGGAGCGTCCCCTGTATCCGTCCAACTTCTCAGCTCCACACCCTTCCCGTTGTTGTAGATGCACGCCTTCCGGTTGACCCAGTCGATCTCGGGGTTGAACCGCTTCAGGAAATCTCGCCCCAAGATGAAATCCAAACCCTTGATGTTCGTGATCGGCAACGTCGGCTTCCATCTCAACGCACCTATGTGTGAGAAGTATTAGAGAGAACATGCAAGCTTACATAGGATAGAAGATCATAGGGATGTTCCTAGGCAAGATGCTTTAGCAAGGTGCTTGGCAAGATGCTTGGCAAGATGCTTGGCAAGATGCTTGGCAAGATGCTTGGCAAGATGCTTGGCAAGATGCTTGGCAAGATGCTTTGGCAAGATGCTTTGGCAAGATGCTTGGCAAGATGCTTGGCAAGATGCTTTGGTTGGGGGCTCCACTAAAGTGTGGATTAGCACTCCAACCAATGTACACCCAAAGGGGTGTATGATAATAGAGAATGTACAAGTCATTCTAGTCTATGTATGATATGAATAAAGGAGTATTCTAACACAACCCCTTTGCATACATAAGACGAGAGGACTTGGACAGGAGAGGATGCAACCCCTGAGTCAGCCACGGGAGGGGATCGAGCGAGGGGCAAGGCCAAGAAAAAGAAGAAGAGCAGAGTGCGTCAGGCGAGACAGTGCCTTGGTGAAGATGTCAGCGAGGTTTGTAGAGGAATCGATCTTGCGAACGGTGATGTGGCCGTCGTTGACAAGGTCACGAACGTAGTAGTGGCGAAGCTCGATGTGCTTGGAGCGGCCATGAAAAACCGCTTCCTTGGTGAGATGTATGGTGCTCGAGTTGTCGCACCAGATGGTGGGGCATGGCTGAGGAGCACCCAGGTCATCTAGGAGGAAGGAGAGCCAGCGGGCCTCCTGAGCGGCCATCGTTACGGCGTAAAGCTCTGCCTCGCAGGAGGAGAGAGCGATGGAGGAGGAGCGAGTGGAACGCCAGCTAATGAGGCCGCTGTCGAGGGAGAAACCATATCCCTGACTGCTGCAGCGGTCGGGCTGGGAATCTGCCCAGGAGGAGTCACTGTAACCAGTGAGGATGGGGGGGGTGGAACCACCTAGCGTGAGCACAAAGTCCTTGGTACCGCGTAGGTAGCGAAGGACGTGCTTGGCAGCCCGCCAGTGCTCTGCAGCATGCTTGCCAGACCCGATGAAGCGAGCCAGTACACTAATCGGGTAGGCAAGGTCGGGGCGAGTGCAGGTCATGGCGTACATCAGGGCCCCAACAAGCTCAGCGTACGGGTCAGAGGAGAAGGATGGGGAGGAGGGTGGAGCGAGCTGATGGCCGACAGGAAGCGGTGTGGAAATGGGCTTCGCAGCGGCCATATCGAAACGCTCGAGGACTTTCTCGATGTAAAAGTGTTGGGACAGAGAGATAGTTCGTGCCTCCAAGTCCCGAGTAATCTCCATGCCGAGGTAGTTGCGGACCTCTCCCAGGTCTTTGCAGGCAAGACGCTGATGAAGCTGGTCTTTGACGGACTGGAGAGCAGCAGGAGAGTCAGTAGCCAGCAGCATGTCATCCACGTAGACGAGGATGTAGAAGGGGGAGGGGGAGGTGCGGAGGAAGAGGCTGGGGGCGGCCTTGGAGGGGCGAAATCCAAGGTCGCAGAGCATGGAGGAGAGCTTGGCGTGCCATTCACGCGGAGCCTGTTTGAGGCCATAGACGGGGCGACGCGCTGCCAAACAGTGGAGGGGTCGAAGGAGCCCTGGAAGCCCTCGGGGCGCTCCATGAAGATAATTTCGTGGAGATCGCCTTGGAGGAACGCAATGGTGACGTCCATAGAGTGGAGTAGCAACCCACTTCGAGCGACGAAGTCCAAGAACACACGGACAACGGGGGGGGGTTGCGGTAGGAGAGTATGTGTCGAAGAAGTCTGAGCCATGGGTTTGTGTGAACCCTTTGGCGCAGTAGCGAGCTTTGAAGACGGGAGACTCGCCGGGGAGCAGCTTCACCCTGAAGACCCATTTGCCTTTGACGACGTTGGACGAGTGGGGGCGGGGAACGTCGATGAAGGTGCCGTTGTGGATGAAGGAAGATGTCTCTTTGGCCATTGCCTCGATCCAAAGAGGGGCATCGAGACAGGCGATGGCTTCCTCATAGGTTGAGGGCTCAAAGACGGTAGGCACCCCAGAGAAGAGAAGGACTAGGGCGCCAGTCAAGGTGCGGACGATGGGAGCGTGGGAGGGTTGATAGAGGTGGAGGAGGAGAAGCTCATCGTGAGTGTCCTCAGAGAGGAGGGGAGAGATGGGAGGAGGAAGAGAGGGGGGTGGTGGAGTTGCAGGACTGCTGCGCAGAGCGAGGTCGCGGCTGGGACGATGTTGTGCTGTTGTACTGCGGCGCGGCTGCTCGGCTACACTGCGCCACGGCTGCGTAAGAGCGCTGGTGCGGGCGGCCGGGGAAGGGTGAATGTGCAGGCGAGGAGGATGTGTACTGGGGGGAAGGGTGGGGATACTGAGGGGGGGGAGGAGGGAAGTGCAGGACAAGGTATGTGGAGGGGGGGGGGGACCAAGGGAGCGAGTGTGGGGGCGGGAGCGAAGGGGGGGGGTGAGCACGAAGGGGGGAAGTTGGGTGAGTCGAGGGAGGGGGAGCGGAGGAGGGGGGAGGAGAGGGAGTGGGGAAAATGGGAGGGGGAGCCGTGGAGTGGGAGGGGGAGGGGGGGAGTACAGGGTCGAGGATGTCACCGGATGAACCTGAGACAGAGGGAGCTGGAGGAATGGGGGGGGGAACCAAGGGGGGGGAAACTGGGGGAGGGGGGAGGAGAGGGGGGGCAGCTATGTCCGTCCAAAGAAGGGGGCGGGGAGGGAGGATGAGAGGATCAGTGGGAGGGGGGGAGGAGTAATAGGGTGAGGATTCATCAAACACTACATCACGGCAACGGATAAGGCGGCCTGAGGGGGGGTGAAGAAATAGGTAATCTAGAGAAGAAGGATTGTGACCAAGGAAGACGCAGGGGAGGGTCCTAGCAGCAAGCTTGCCGGCTGCGCGGGAGCGATCAGCAAGGTGTATAAGGACGTGGGCTTTGGAGCCCCAAATGCGAAGGGGTGAGATATCGGGCTTGGTGGAGATCCATAGATCGGTGGGAGTGGTGGAGGGGCGGTTGGGATGGGGATAAAGGTTGGTGAGAAGGGTAGCATGAAGTAGGGCATATCCCCATAGGGATGGCGGGCAGGAGGCATGAACCAAGAGACATCGGGCAGTTTTGGTGATCTCTCGGACCCGACTCTCAGCAACACCATTTTGCTGAGGGGAGTGGGGTAGAGTGTAGGTGTGGCGAATGCCATGGGTCGTGCAGTAGGAGGAAAGGGTGTGATTGAGGAACTCACTACCGCCGTCAGAATGGAGACGACGAATGGGTCGTCCAAAGTGGGTTGCAGCCTGCGTTGCCCATGCAATAATAGCAGCGGGGGGCTCGGCTTTGGTGCGGAGGAGAGAGACCGAGGAGTACCTGCTGTGGTCATCCACAAGGATGAGCAGGTATCGGTGACCCTGGCGGGAGGGGGTGGGGTTGGGACCCCAGAGGTCCATGTGGACTAGGTCGAGTGGTGCAGGGGAAAAGGTGGGATGACTGGGGTGAGGGTGTTGTTTAAGTTTGATCTGGACAGAGACCGTGCAGGGTGGGGCAAGGGAGGGAGGAAGTGGGGGGAGAGTGGGTGGGAGACCATGAAGGAGAGAGGAAATGACGGCTTTGTGAGGGTGACAAAGTTGGGATGACCAAGACGATGATGGAGAAGAATGGATGGGTGGGAGAGGTCACGACACAGACAAGAGGGAGAGGGGGATGGTGGAATAGGTGGAGGGGGAATAGTGGTGGAGAATACCTGAGGGGAGGGAGAGCGAGGAGTGCGGAAGGTGTACATACGAGTGGATGGACACATGGAGATACGAGAGAGAAAACGACCGGAGGTGGAGTGAAAAAGATCACAGTGGGAGGCGTGAGCAGGAAAGATAGTGGTGACACCAGCTTGTTGAAGTGCACCTTGGGAGACTAGGTTGTGACGGAGAGAGGGAATGTGAAGACCAGTGACGGTGCCTGATGGAAAAAGTGGACAAGGGAGTGTGGATGAGTGATGGCTTTGGACAGTAAAGGTGGAGTCAGCACCAAGGATGGTAGAGGGAGTGGGGAGGGGTGTGAGTTTGCCAGCGTCGCGAAGGACAGTGTGAGAGGCTCCACTGTCAAGGATAAATTCAATGGGAGGTAAGGAGGCGGAGTACTGGAAAGACATTGTATTAATAGCATCAGCATACATGGAGGGATCATTAGGCATAGGGGACTGCATGCTCTGTCCTACGAAGGCGGAGGACGGGAATGGGGTAAAGCCCGGGGGGAGGGAGGGAGGGGGGGAATGTTCAGTGTCCGGAGGCGGGGCAGTCGGGGGTACAGACGGGGGGGGAACCTGAGGGGGGTAAAACGGGTAGGGGGGGTATGGGGAAGGAGACCAGGGGGGCGGGGGGAAACCTGGAGGTGCAGGGGGAGGGGGGTAAAAGCCGGAGGGGGGGGGTGAGGGAGTCGGGGAATACAGCAGGTGATGAGCCTGGGGGGGAGCACGGGGAGGGGTAGAGGGGGGGAGTACCTGAGGGTTGGAGGAGGAAGGGGGGTGGTAGGTGGGGGAGGTGCGGATGTCATGAGGGGTGGGGAGGGGGTGCAAGAGGTGCCAACGGGGGGGAGTACCAGTGTTACCACGTTCAAACCATTCGTCACTTAGAGCCTTGAAGCAGGTGGCGGTGGCGTGGGTCGTCTGGAGACAACGCTGTCCTCGAAGAGAGCCGTAACGAATGAGGTACTGGCACGGAGGAAGGGTGCCGGTTCCAACAGGGCCACTGCGTCCACCACCACGGCCACCTCCTCCAGGGGGGCGAGAGCCAAAGCGTCCACCACTGCGTCCCGAAAAGCTGCTTCGTCCGGTACCGCGCCCTCCCCTATAGCCGCCGCTGAAGCCACCACGACCGCCACCTCCTCCACGAGCAAGCGCAATAGTAGAGAGAGAGGTGTGGAGGAGATATGCTTCCGCGTCGAGTAGCCAAGTGATGATGTCAGAGGAGGAGGGAGTGTCGGGTCGGGTGGTGATGAAGGCAATCTTGTAGGTGGTGTAGGCGGGAGGAAGTCCATTGAGGATGCGAGCCATGAGGAGGGAATCAGTGATGGTGATGCCGCGATCAGTGAGGCGGCAAGCAGTGTCAGTAAGGCGACGAGTAAAGGTGGCAGCATTGGGAGAGGAGTCAAGGGAGAGAGCTTGGAATTCGCGGTAGAGGGAGAGAAGGGAGTTGAGGTCTTGTCGGTCAAAGCGAGTGGTGAGATCCTTCCAAAGTGTTGCGGAGGTGGTGGGACGGATCTCACGTTTGAGAGAGGTAGGGATAGAGGCGAGGATGATGTTGAGCGCCTTGAGATCGGCAATGCGCCATGCAGAGGAGTTGAGGCGGTATGTGCGGTCATCCTCCACGTGCTTGGCGCGCAGGGCCTGGTAGTCGATATCGGCGAATCGAGCGGCTTCATGGGCAGCGAATGCCGCATTTCAGGTGGCTTGGTCAAGAATGTAAGCAGCATGATCCCGAGTGTAATCGCGGAGGATGCGAGCCCAACGTTCGGGGTCATCGTTGTGAACGGGTAGCTCCGGGGCAACAGGCGGTGGGCCTGGAGGATGGGGTGGTTCACCAGGAGGGGGTGGAGGGGGGGCTGCGGGAGGAGAGGGGGCAACTCCGAATGGAGTGTCGAGAGCGAGATCAAGGAGGTTAAAGTTATGGATTGTGGTGGAGCCAAGAAGAACGTGCATGCTTTCTGAAAACGAAGTCCAGTTTACCGGGGTGGTATCGTTAATGAGTTCGAGACGATCAATGGAACTTATGTCAGTTGGCATGGTGTCGGTAGCCATGATGCGGGGGGGGAGAAAGCAGCCACAGGAGGAGGGGGGATGGGGAAAATGAAAGATGAGGAGAGAAGGTGAGAATGAGGAGGGAGAGATCAGCCACAGGAGGAGGGAGGATGGGGAAAATGAAAAAGAAGGTGAGAATGAGGGGGGGGGAGGAGGGATCAGCCACAGGAGGAGGGAGGGGTGGGGATACGACGGGATGGTGTGAGGGGAAACTAGCGACAGAGGGAGGGAGAATGGGGAGTGAGGGTGATGGAGATGATGGTGAGGGTGGAGGAAAGAGGGAGAGAGAGCAGCCACAGGAGGAGGGTGGGGGACGAGGGGGGGCTTACAAGAGAGATCGCAGGAGCAGTGGGCAGCGGGTCGCGAGCGCCACGGGTAGGACAGAGGCGCGGGTCAGAGGGAGGAGCGGGTCAGGGCGGAGGTGGCGCTGGTCGCAGGAGGAGGTGGCGCTTGGTCGTGGGCGTTGCAGGCAGCAGGTTGCGGGCGTCGAGTCCGCGAGCGCCTTGGGTAGGAGGAGGAGGGGAGGGGGGAGGGGGGGGGGCGGCAGCTGACGTGGTCGCGGATGTCGCGAGCAGGAGGCGACGGGGGCCCGTGGTGCGTCGAGGGCGGCACGCCCGTCGAGGGTCGCGGGTCTAGGGGGTCGAGGGCGACGAGGGGCGTCGTTCGCAGGGGTCACGACCCGCGTCGCTGGTTGGCAGGGGCAGCGGGTCGCGGATGTCGGGGGCGCGCGCGATGGGCGGCGTCTGTCGAGGGCGTCGCGAGGAGCAAATGGGAGGAGACAGGGGGGCTGCGGAGGGCGAGCGCGGGGGGGCCGTGGAAGTCGCGAGCAGGGGGCGCCAAGGGCCATGGGTGTCGCGGATAGGGGGCGCCAAGGGACGGGGCGCCGCGGGTGTCGCGAGCTGGGGGCGCCAAGGGACGGGGCGCCGTGGGTGTCGCGAGCTGGGGGCGCCAAGGGACGGGGGCGCCGTGGGAGTCGCGAGCAGGGGGCGCCAAGGGACGGGGCGCCGTGGGCAACGCGCCAAGGGCCGTGGGCGTCGCGGATAGGGGACTCCAGGAGCCGCGTGCGCTGAGGAGAGGGCGTTTAGGGCCGTGGGTGACGTGGACAGAGGGCGCCAAAGGCCGTTAGTGACGGGAGCAGTAAGGGTTACGGGAGGGCCGTGTGTGATGAGTGACGGGTAACCGAGGGAATAGTAGGAGTGTTGAGGATCGGAGAAGGCGTTAGCCTATGAAGCTCTGATTTCCATGTGAGAATTAGAATGATTGAGTATTAGAGAGAACATGCAAGCTTATATATGATAGGAGATCATAGGGATGTTCCTAGGCAAGATGCTTTAGCAAGGTGCTTGGCAAGATGCTTGGCAAGATGCTTGGCAAGATGCTTGGCAAGATGCTTGGCAAGATGCTTGGCAAGATGCTTTGGCAAGATGCTTTGGCAAGATGCTTGGCAAGATGCTTGGCAAGATGCTTTAGCAAGGTGCTTGGCAAGATGCTTGGCAAGATGCTTGGCAAGATGCTTGGCAAGATGCTTGGCAAGATGCTTGGCAAGATGCTTTGGCAAGATGCTTTGGCAAGATGCTTGGCAAGATGCTTGGCAAGATGCTTTGGTTGGGGGCTCCACTAAAGTGTGGATTAGCACTCCAACCAATGTACACCCAAAGGGGTGTATGATAATAGAGAATGTACAAGTCATTCTAGTCTATGTATGATATGAATAAAGGAGTATTCTAACACTATGTGCAGCTGCAGTGATGCTTCGCCGTGGACGGGAAGCTTCGTACCGTCCACCATTGTTGCTGAAAACTGGGTCTCCTCCGCCTTCTCTCCAATTTTCTCCAACGTCCCGCGGTCACACACCGAGTGGGACGCACCACTGTCCACCAGTGCCTGGAGGCGTCGTCCCTTGCATAACACCTCGAGGAGTAGTGGTTTCTGCTGCGCTGAGTAGCCAAAGATAGTATCGTTAATAGGATCATAGGGTACATCAAAATAATCACCTTCCCTATTTCCTATACCTGACTGATCACTCTTGACTTCCAACTTCACCTAGGGGGTAGGAGGATTTTTCCGAGGCTTGTATAACTTCTCATGAGCCTGGAAGTTTTCTCTAAGCCTTTGCAGCTGTGTATGCTTCACCTGTGGGCAATGGGGAGCCTTAAAGCGGCAGTATACATTTGACAGCGGGGTTCAGGGTTTTACAGTGTGCCCCACAATTTCGCCCCCACCATGTACCATTTATAAACTTTTGGCACTCTCCCTGCCAAATGTATACTGCTGCTTTAACAAGGTGTTGCGGGGAGATAATATTAACTCCACGGAATGCACGACCATTTTCTACGCTCCGTAGTACTTTGCCCAACTTCTCAGGTACCTGAATAATTTCTAAAGGCTTTTTCTTGGCCTCTAATTCTCCCCTGATTTTTTCAAAGGCTTGAAAACCACGAGAAGTAGTATTCTTAGTTGAAGTATCTTTATGGGATAACTTTAACGAATTCTTACTTTCGTGGGTGTTCGGCTGGAGTTTCCCAGTCGGTGCAGAGTCTTCTTTCGCGGAGCCTTATTTTTTCTCGGCGAATTCCACTTGTGCCGGCCGGTCGTGACGTTTTAAATCCGCGCCATCATTTTCTCATTTTTTTGCCCGCTCCGAAGTCGCCACGTCGTCACCCTTTTTTCTTTTTCGGATCTTTTCGCGATCGCCAGGTCGATCCGCGGCTACTGGCGATTCTCGTTGTTCTACTTTGGGTGTGCTACACTGTTGCCGCCCAGCATTCTCGCACGTACTTTTTTCATCTTGTAACACGACAGAATCTGATGTCCGGCTGCACCTCAAAATTCTCATTTTGGCGGCCGCGGCTTCGCGTCGAATCGGGCGATGTCCATCGGTTCGGCGAACGTGGGGGGTGCCGATCGCTCCGTGCCAAAAGATCTGTTCGGCACGTGGCGTCGTGTTTCGGGTTGACCTCGCGTCAACGCATCGTACCGTTCTGTTGCTCGCACCATGTCGCAGTAGCTATTGTAGTTCGCGGCGATGGCTTGTCGTCGTATCTCCATTTTCAGTCCTTCGGTGTACGCCTGCAGTTTTTCCCCTTTGGTCAGGTATGGAATTCTGTTGAACAACTGCTCCATCTGCTGTGTGTACTGCGTTACACTTTGGTACTGTTTGTGCCGATGAACTTGTTGCCGCGCCATGTAGCTCGGATGTATCGGTTCGAAGCATGCAATTAAATCTGCCCGAAACTGCGCCCACGTTCCCTCTCCGCGGACCACGTCGCTGTAGTAAATCCATTCGAGTGACGGGCCTCGCAACAGTGTCGCTGCGAGCCGAATCCTTGTTGCGTCATTTGTCGAGGTCGAACAGCCAATGGCCTCGAAGTAAATTTCGAGGGTCGCCACGAATCGTGGAACGTCCGATCCCTTCGTGCTGTTATCAAACGCCTCGGGGAGCCTCGGGCGAGCTGCTTTGAAGTTCGGCGAAGGTGGTGCCACTGCTGCGTGAAATGTCGGTGTCGTCGCGGCCGCAGCTGCTGTCGCTGTTGCATTCACTGCTGCTGTGGCGAATGCCGACTGGTTCACGAGGAGCGCTTCAATTCACTGGAGTGCCGCCCACGTCTGGTCCATCTCCGTGCGAAGGGTTGCGACCTCGGTGACGAAATTGTCGCCAGCACCCTCCATTCCTGACATCGCGCGTTAAAAAAAAAAAAAACGAAAACGAGGGGGAGTGAAAAACACGGAACCGGTTTTACACACCCAAAATCGGTGTTTAACGTTCGTCGCATCCGCAGTTTTCAAAGACTGGGTTTTAGTGGTCGAAAAAACTTCTTGTGTAAACGGCTCCGATTACCAAGTGTGAGGATCGAGGATCGAGTTCAGAATTGAAGTATAACACCTGGGTATTGATTCACCTGGGTATAACACGAGGCAATATATAGTCTCGACACAAGGCAAGTAACCCAGGTGTTACACGAATGTTCTGGGGGCCGCGAAGCGTCCCGAACAGGACCTTCCCGAACTCGGTAGAAAGCAATTCGTTGGCAACCGAAAGGCTTGAGTTTGGTACACGTAACATGGTTCGGTGCTATAACTAAGACATAGGAATGCACCGAACCTAGGTACTCAAGCATAAGCATGCATGAGAAATGAAACCTAAGCTAGAAATAGCATAATAAATGCAAGGCAAGCAAGCATAGCTGGCATAAGCCGTCGTACTCTCACAGGATTGCTGAGCGTCGCATTGGCTTGATCATGGGGGTTGCTCGCACCTCCATGATCTCTGCGGCTGCTCCCCATTTTTTGTGGCCGTTTGCGGTCAGATACGCCGCGCATCAGCTCAACCTCTGGCCCGTGTCCCTGTGCCAGAGATTTCGCCTATACTGCGTTGGAGGTTGGCGATGCGTCGGCGTTTCGGGTCTCGGGCGCACTCTCCCTTGTCCGCGATACCACCGCGGGCAAGCTCTCTCCTCGCACTCTCCGCTGCGTCTTCTTTGGCTTCCCCACCGATGTCTCGCCCTGGCAGTTTTACCACCCTGCCTCGCGCCGTGTCCTGTCCTCACAGGACGTCACCTTTGACGAGTCGGTCTGCTTCTACCGTCTCCACCCGCACGTGTCTTCCTCACTCTCTCCGCCGCCCCTCTTCCTGGTCCCAGGTCCCCCCCCTGGTAGACCCCCTCCCCCCACAGGGTCCTGCTCCCTCAGGTGTGTCTTACGTTGACCCACCCCCCTTGGTTGAGCCTTTGGAGGTCTCCTCTGACACCTCTGGCCCAGCTGA